AGGAGGTTGCATTATAGGTGCTGAAATTAATGCTTCCTTAAGCGTCTCAAATGCGTTTAAGCATTTATCATCGAAAATAAACTCAGTGTCTTTCATCAATAGTTCAGTTAGTGGCTTAGTGATTTTAGAGAAATCTTTTATAAAACATCGGTAAAAACCAACGTGTCCTAGAAAACTTCTTATTTCTCTAACTGTTTTGGGTGGTTGAAGGTTTTTGATAATTTCGATTTTTGCTTCATCGACTTCAATCCCCCTGTTTGATACAATGTGACCCAACACAATTCCTTGTCTCACCATGAAATGACATTTTTCCCAGTTGAGCACTAGGTTGACATTGACACAACGTTTTATTACCAACTCAAGATTTGATAAACATCCGTCAAAACTTTCTCCGCAGACAGAAAAATCGTCCATGAATACTTCCATAATTCCGTCTAAAAAGTATGTGAAAATTGCCATCATGCATCGTTGAAAAGTTGTAGGTGCGTTACATAGTCCAAACGACATTCTTCGATATGCAAAGGTACCATAGGGGCATGTGAACATAGTTTTCTCTTGATCATCAGGATGAATGGGAATTTGAAAGAATCCTGAGTATCCGTCAAGATAGTAGAAATGGGAATGTTTAGCTAAACGCTCCAGCATTTGTTCTATGAATGGTAATAGGAAATGGTCCTTGCACGTAGCTTTGTTTAGTTTTCTGTAATCAATACACATTCTCCATCCTGTTTGGGTATGTTGTGCTACCGATTCGCCTTTTGTGTTTGTTATAACCGTAACACCTCCTTTCTTAGGTACTACGTGAACTGGACTGACCCCGTTGCTATCAGATATCGGGTATATGATGCTTTCCTCTAGTAGTTTCTGCACTTCTTTCTTTACGACTTCACTTAAAATAGGATTTATTCGTCTTTGATGTTCTCTAGAAGTTTTGCAGTCCTCTTCTAGCATAATGTGGTGCATACAGACAGAGGGGCTTATTCCTTTTAGATCTGATATATTATATCCCAATGCAGTTGGATACTTCCTTAACACATTAAGAAGTTTTTCGGTTTCGATCTTCCCTAAGTCGGCGTTGACTATAACTGGCCGTTCGAGTTCTTTATCTAAAAATTCATACCTTAGGTCTTTAGGTAACATTTTAAGTTCTATACCAGTTTTCTTAGCAATTGGGGGAGGATCGGGTGTTAAGGCGAGACATTCGCTTAGGTTGGCATCGTGATATTCCTGTCTCCATTCATCATCCTCGAAAATAGTTAGTGTCGGAATTTTCAATATTCCAGAATAGGTGTCTTCTTGGCTTTCTAGTTCTTTGACACATTCATCGACAATATCTAGGAAACAACATGAGTCATCTATAGCAGGGGCTTTGAAGAATTGGGAAAGAATAAATTCTACTTTTTCTTCTCCTACCTCGAAGGTAAGCTTTCCTTTCTTAACGTCGATAATGGCTCCTGCAGTGGCTAAGAATGGCCTTCCTAATATAATGGGAATATTTGAATCTTCCTTTATGTCCATTATTATAAAGTCAGTAGGTATGTAGAATTGTCCTATTCGGACAGGAATATTTTCTAGCATACTGTGATACGGTGGGAGAACTGACTTGAGGTTTTGCGTTTGTTTTCGCAAATGTTTCGGTTTAGCAAGAGTCGCCACCGGCTTTTTATTTTATCCTAAGGAAAGGTTAAAAAGCATAGCAAAAACCTTTGAGATGTTTTCTTGGGTTCAGGGAGTAGATTATAGAAAGGGAAGGTATTAGCACCCTTTCTATCCATGGTTATCCATGGGCTCTTAGTTACTTGCTTAGATCACTTGCCTTGCATTTTCAATTGTTTGAAATGGTGCTTTGTGTGTGTGGTTTTTGAAAATGTTTTGAAAAAGATGCCTTGTCTAGGCAACCGTTGTAACAATTCTTTACTCGAATGTTTTACAAAGGTGTTTGTCTTTTTGAAAAGATGTTTCAAGGTTTTGAAAGTTTGTTTTGAAAGTTATGTTGTGGAGTGTGTTTTGAAAGTAGGCAAGTGTGTTTTGCAAGTTTGACCAAGTAACTAAGAGTTGTCTACCCCTAAATTTACTCAATGATCTTTCCTATGTTTTAACCCTCTTAACAGTATTGTTCCACCATTGTATTTGGTGGATAATCTTGTGTTAGGATGTTAATGGGACAGGCGCGGGTCATCGTATAGACCATGAATGCAATAGTGCCAAGTGTCTTTGGCAATTTACTTGAGGGACTATGATCATTTTGTTTTGGTAACTTGAGAAAGCGTCATCGAGGGACTATGATCATTTGATTTGTTTTTGTTTTGCCAAAGACACTCAACATGCAACAGGGCCCATTTTTGAAGGCAACAAGTGGAGTAACCCTAAGGGTGCAAATGCGCTCGGTGTTGTCCATTTTCATGCATTTTTGTCTTTGTATTAGTCAAACTATTTGTTATTTGATTTGCATACAAACCCTAAGTCTATCATGGCATAATTTGAAAGCTTTTAAATGCGGAAATTTAAAGTCCTAAATTATTACAACATAATTATGGGGATGGGGGTACAAATGTTTGAATGGGGGGATATTTAGCAAGAAATTAAATCTAAAACTATTACATCCATATTGAATATACAAATATCAAATTGTACAATATTTAAACAAATATAATAAATATGCAAAAATGTATTATGCACAAAAATGATTTTTTATGTATGAGAAAGTATTTTTCAATGTGAAATATAAACAAAAATAAAAAAGTCAAATTTTGAATATTTTTATGGTTTAGGGCAAAACCCTAGTTTTCTAAATAAATAATATTTATTTATTAATTATATACTATATTTGTTAATTATATACAAAAAAATAAAAAAAAGAAGTATATTGTAAAAAAGAGTATTTTTTAGTGTCATATATTAATAAAAATAAAAATGTATTATTTCTATATTTTTGTCCTAAATATCTAATAAAATATACAAGTATTTATATTATATATTAAATATACTAAATATATACCAAAATAAAATATTAATTATTTACAAAAAAAGTATATTTTTAGAAAATGTTTTCAAAAGGTAAATGAAAAATAATAACTGAAAAATAAATATGTTTTTGTATTATTAGTGTTTTAAATAAAAAGGAAATATATTTGTTTATATATATATGCTAAATAAAACAAATAAATGCCAAATAAATGCAAAAATGGGTGGAAAAATATTTTTAATGTTTTTTATGTTTTGACAAAAAATATCAAGTCAGAAGAAAAAATAAAAAGTAAAAAATAATGGATATTTCACACAATGGGCCAGGGGGGTGCAAATGGAAAAAAGGGGTGTGAACAACATGCTGACTCAGGCCCAGCCCAAGCCAGCTTTGTCTTCAACCTCCAGCTCCATTCAAACAGAAAACGCGCGCGCCTCTTATGCAATCATCATCTCCTGATTCTTTGACTTTTAACAAAAACTCATAACACAAACATTATAGAGCATGAAGATACGAATTCATACATATAAAAAACTTGACCTAACTCTAAGAAACGAGGGAGAATTTCTTCATCCCCAATTTCTGACCTAAATTTTCTCTAATGTTCATGGCCAAAATTCTCACAGCATACTCAATATAAATGAAAAGTAAGTATATGGATGGCTTCAGGGCTATGAGGAAAACATGTTTCATTCACAAACCTAAGCCTAATCATGCCTGGATAGAGAGATATAAGTTCGTACTTTTACCTGTTTCAGCTTGAGTCGTGTACAGCAATGGAGGTATCTTCAATGGAGTTTGAGCTTTGGTACAGCTTGCCTGAAGTCCAAGGATGCTTCTCCTATGCTTGGATTTCTCTGAAACTGCCTGTATCGTGCTATGGAAGTCCACCTGCACAGCTTGAAAGCAAAAATGGCAAACGATGTTAAGGATGTTACAGCTTGGATCTAATGCTTGGGATAGTTTGCGTGGATAATATAGAATGTGTTTGAACTGGTTTTAGTCAAAATGCACGAGTGGAATGGATTGTGGAAGTCAATCTGCAGCTGGCACTCTGTTTTGCAGAAAAACTATGATTTTGGATATGAGGATGGATTGAGGATGAAGGAATCATGTTTTAGGTCAGTTAGGGAGTGTGAAAGATGAGAACAAAGTTTGCTTAGGCTTATGCTTGGAGGAATGAAAGATTGGAGTTGTTTTGCAATCTTGCTTGTTTTTGAAGTAAGTAAGCTCAAGTCTTTATGCAGGCCTGTATATCCTCTCTATATATGTTGCACCTTTTGTTCTTGATCAGAGTGATTTCACTACAAGAAAATTGGCAGATTGCGACAGGTATTTTTGTAGATTATGACGGTTAAAACCGTCGCAATTTGCTTTCCACGACGGTTGCTTTACCGTCGCAGAAGTGTGTGTCCCCAACCTATTTCGCGACGGTTACAAAAACTGTCGTTCAAGTTTACAACGGGTTGATACCGTCGTGAGTATCTTTTGAGTTTCTTTTAATTATTGATGGCGACGGTTCGATACTGTCGTGAATATCTTTTGAAATTGATTAAATTGTTTATGGCGACGGTTCGATACCGTCATGACTTTTGTTGATTACGACGGTTCGGTACTGTCACCATGACTTTTGTTTATGTCTTGATTTTTTTTTTATTTTTCTATTATATATATTTTTTATTTAAATTATTATCTATGTAAAAAATTTTAAATATAGTTTTTTTTTGTGTTATTTTTTTCTTTAAATTATTTCTTCTTTAATATATTTATTTATAGTATTATTTTTTGTTTTATTTTCTATCACTTTGTAATATAGTAAAAATAATTTCAATAAAAAATATTTAACATCAAATAAGCATTATAATATCCAAAAAAATGTGTGTTCCATAATCATGTAAAATGCGAGTTCCATAATCATGTCAAGTAGTACAAAAAACCCAAAATATATCAATTCCTAATCTTATAATAATAAGTATCATTATGCCAAAAATACATGAGAAAGTTCACAATCTAATTATCTCGATCATAGCAAAGTCTAATTTGTCCCCCCTGAAGTTCCATTATCTCCAATACGATAGCTAGACTCAGATGAACGTCTACCATCAGCGGGTGATTCCAATCCCTAAAAAAAGGTATTAAAATAATAATCTTTAAAATAATACTCATAAAATTTAACTTTAAATGCGTCAAATTAATATACCTGTCTTCCATTGGAATAGAGTTAGCAGTACCTCATGTAAAGGAAGGTTCAACCCAAGTTCAGACGAAGTTGATCGCAAATTGGCAAATCGTCGTAAATCCCTTTCGACTATACATGGAAGGATATATCCATCTATTTCATGAACCAACAATCAGCATTTCAAACAACTTCCAAATTTTCATCCAAGAGGTAGCATATACCAATTCTTGACTAAGACTAATGACATGACTCGGAGCACAAATTCTTGAGTTACAAGAATAAGCATTTGAAATTAGATAAAGTACCTGTTCTCTCCGAAGGCCATTCGAAGTATACAGCGCATATATGATGGAGCTTAGTACGTTGAAATGGATACTGAGCATGAGCCCTACATAAATTGGAAAATAAATATATCAACTTTACTTGAATGGAGAAAAGAGCCAAAAGAAAATAAAAATTATAAAGATACTTACAATAATAGGAATGAATGCAATCCAGAAATATGCATGCCAACCTGAAACAATAAAAATAAATCTTAGTTTCGATTGGACAATGACATAATTGTTAATTCAACGAGACTGTGGTATAACCAAGATTAAACTACACATCAAAATGGTAGTTCTTGATTCAACTGGTTGAACTGAACGGGTTTCAATGCAGTTTTTAAAGCATTGTTACAGGTAATAATAACCATTATACTTAAGGTAGAAAATATGGTTAGCATGCAGCAGAACTACTGAGAAACAGAACAAAAGTGCCAAGTCTTGTAGCGTACCATGGATATTAAGCAACAAAAATATGACCACAAAGATCCAAAGATACCAACTGCAAACATCAACATAAAATTATAAATTAGTGACAAGAAAGAATCAATAACTTTACACTATAAGTCTACAAAGAAAACCAGGTCGATTAACTACCGATGAAGATTGTGATAATTATAGAAGCTTGGCAGAAACAAATACCTTATACCAACAACTTTCTTGAAGTCTTCTTCAAGTGCACGATTCATGTACTTATGAAAATTAAACGTTCGATTGCCCCTACAATGAGTCTAAAGTAGAGAAAAAAAATTAATAATATGGTTCGAGCATAGATAATAGAAGCAAATGCAGCACACTATAATCTTACCATAATGAAACCTCGCCTTAATGTTACATAATCCAACTTTGTCACAGATCCATAAAATTGCTTGAAAAATGATCTCTGAAATAAAAAACCAAAAATCAGAACTAATCATAAATATAATGTCAATAACAACACGATAAAGCCAGTAAAATATGATTAACTTCATACAATTAACCTACCACCCATCCTGTTATAGCAGAATTTTTGCCAGAACCAAAAACATGATACTGTATAAATTCATGCTCATGAACATGAGTCACCTCCTCCGCCCGCTCCGAAGCTGCACTAGACCAGTAGTATCCATATAAAAAAGATTAATTATGACAGAAAAGTATTAAGATTACATTATAACTGATCAAGTTTGTTAGCTTACCATGTTGTGATTCATTGTCTTCATCTACACCAATAGAGTGTTCCCAGTGCTTCCATTTACGAATCTATAATTGACAACAATTCTTATTAATAGAGAAGAGCTGTAAACAAAAAACAGATTATGATTAAAAAAATCATATGATTAGATACTCACGATTAATCCTCCAAAAACAATAGTCAAAACAGATATGGCCACATGACAAATAGCTAGGACAAAAATAAAGATATGCAGGCGATGCAGTCCTTCCAATGATAACAGAGGAACCTTTCCCTGCAAATAATTTAATGATAATACAAAATATGATTAAAGTGGATAATAGGATAAGTCATCAAATTAAAATTGTTTAAATAACATTTAAGAGAATAAACATGATATATGACTGTGAGTGGATTTTACACTGACTTGCACCCTTATGTAATAGTCATTAAAACCTTGAACAAAATGAAAAAGGCAATAACATATCATACCTTGGCAGCACAGTAGCCATGTTGTCCCTCTTGTGATGGATGATTACCATTATCACTAAGAAGGCGTCTAGCAGTGCCAAAAACATCATTGGAAGAGAAAAAAGTCTGAAAATGTACGATTGGTTTTGGTTTTGATTTTACAACTGATTGTTCATATTCTCTTTCTTCAAGTTTACAAGGAAGCATATGATGCATCATTTTTTCTGGAACACAGATTTCTACAATCACATTTTGTGCTTGAGCCAGAAATATAGAAATAAAACCCAACAACATCAACTCTGCATAGTAATAATATAAATAATAAAAATCTAAAAGAAACCATAAAACTAAACATATCTCAATTTTGAAAATCATTAGTTTAATAACAAGTAGAAGAAGAAGAAAAAAGGAAAACCTTCTTTGATTTTTTGTAAGGCTTGAAAGAGTGATTCTTGATTTTTCGTCTTAAGAAACTTGCCAAGATGATGAAGACCACGTACAAGAGCAAATGAAACGGCGACAAGGATAGTGCAAACAACAGCAACAACCCATGTAGAAGGGTAATGAAACATGCATTAAATCTAAGTCATTTATTTATGGAATATGATTCCTAACAATGGTTGTTGTTGTAACATACTCAGGTGTAGGAAGAGCTATCAACAAATGAAGAAAGAATATGTAGCTTTGAGATAGAAACTTGAAAATTATTAGGAGAGGAAAGGTCAGAACAGCGCCATAAGCACTCTATCTAAGTCTAATCCTCCTAAAAGCTATAAGTACAACCTACCGAGAACCAAAACAAACAACCACATTCACAAGAACCCTCCATATAATCCATTAATTCAACTGGAAGACTAAAAAGCAACACCCCACTTTCTTCCAGATCACTCTACGTCAAACAATATTATAGCAACAACATCACAACATGTCTCAAAAACTGCATCGCTACCAATATCACTGTGGCATTTACCAACAACTTCAACACCTGCTACTTAACTACAATTGAAACTCAAGTAACTTATTAACTATTGATTATATATCTATATCCAATGGCAACCATAAATACGAAGAACACACATTGTGTGGATTGCAATGTAACAAATAGCAATAAACTAGGGTTTTAAAAAGGTCTGCCACCTGCCACTACAATTTCAATTGTGACAGCAAGGTTTTTGATATATGGACTGCAGTGTGCCTCAATTCATGACTATAACCGCATTGAAAAACCAAACTCAATAAATAAATAAATAAAAATTTGAAAAGTGAGGAAAAGATGATTACCGTGATAATCAACCAGCAGGATTAAGAGCCATCATCATGTTGTTTCCACCAGGAAGATAAGTAACATTAGGCGATTTCGCAAGCGTTCCAGCAACTTCCCTGGAAGCTTCAATCCTCCTAAGCTCAACCAACCCCATCCCAGCCGCAGCAGTAGCCTCAGAAATCAATATAGCAGCGTCACTCTCTCCTTCAGCTCGAATACCAAAAATAAGTGAATGCAACAGACATAATACCAATCATTATATCAGTTAACAACCCTACAACACATAAAATCGGTTCAGGAATACCATAAAAAATAGTCCACTCATTCAGAAAATTAAAAAAGGCCAATGCATAGCAAAACTGATTCAGTCAATCACATAGATTCAAGTCAATTTAAATATCCACTTCACAAACCTAATCCCTCACATAACAATTTCTAACAACTTTAAGCTAACAGTTATCCATTTCAATTGATATTCCTAACAGTCAGGCCCTAATAATATTGACGATTTTAACTCTTTTTCACACTAACAATTAGCTAACTCAAATTACAATCAGCAACTAACTCTCAGTTTCATTCAAATCTAAAGCCATCCCATCCTAATAGCCAACTATACACAACCTCTCTACAATATTCTACACAGCTTCGTCAACCTTCATCATCAATGGCATCATCGCGACTTCAAGCTTGAAGCATTCCCTCTATTTCAACACCAATCACAACAACAAACTTCAATAATTGAATTGTACCGAATCAATAGAAAATACGTGTGAATCGGAAATAATAGAAGAATGAGGAATTAAGAATGCATACCTGAATCACGATTGAAGCGTTGGCGGAGTGACTCCGACGTGTAAGTATTCTTTCTTCTCTCATCATTTTTTTTGCATATGTGACATTTTCGTTTTGCTTTGAATCACAGTTGAGGCATGAAACAGAAATTGAGCGGAATTTTTCAGAGCTTCGAATCAAAAACGATGAAACTATGGTTGAGACGATGGAACTAAATTGGAATCGAAGCCACGATGAGTTAAGAAGAGTGAGACGGAGGTAAACAGTACTGAATCTAAATAGAAGAAGGTTGAATCGATTTAAGGTGAAGACAGGCGAATATTGAGAATTTGATATAGAGGAGATAAGGTCGTTGTGTTCTCCGCCGATTTGGTTTTGAACGATGACAGGGAGTTTCGCGGTGTCGGGACGAGAGAGGACTCGGAGAGTTAGGTTAACCATTTGAAGATCTTTGGTGCCGGATATTGATGAGAAAGTATGGGGGCGGGTTTTGATATCGAAGATGTAGGGTTTTTGAACCCATGGGATGAGGAAATGGGTTCCCTCGCCGATTGATTCGTCGAGGATGCCGCGGAAACAGAACTTGTTCAAGGAATTCCAATATACTGTTAAAGAAACATTCTAATCGATGTTTTATGAGCTTTTTAACTTTTTTACTGCGACGGGTGTTTTACCGTCGTGCCCATGAGAATTTTTAAAGGTTTTGGGTGCGACGGTTGTTTTACCGTCGTGAAATTAATTTTAGGACGGATAATTTTACCGTCGTGAAAGGTTTAAGGGTGCGACGGGTGCTTTACCGTCGTGATATGCCTTTTAGGACGGTTAATTTTACCGTCGTGACTAGTTGTTGGTGAAAAATCAATGTTAAAAGTGTTAAATGGGGGCCGACGGTTGTTTTACCGTCGTAATAATAATATTATGATGGTTAAATATACCGTCGCAAAATAAATATTAGGGACGGTTGGTGTCAACTGTCGTAAACACTGTCTCTATATGTCAATTACGACAGTTATCACATAACTGTCGCAATTTTTGTGTCGTTAAACACTAATTTTCTTGTTAGGGAGTGTGAAAGATGAGAACAAAGTTTGCTTAGGCTTATGCTTGCAGGAATGAAAGATTGGAGTTGTTTTGCAATCTTGCTTGTTTTTGAAGTAAGTAAGCTCAAGTCTTTATGCAGGCCTGTATATCCTCTCTATATATGTTGCACCTTTTGTTCTTGATCAGAGTGATTTGTGTACAAATGCTAGCCTCAAAGATCTGGCCCATGCCTCTTGGATTTTGAATTTGACATAAAGCACTACTTTACAAAAATGGCAAAGTTGCTTTTTCTAATTATGGATTAGTTCTTTGTGTAATGACTAAATGCACAAAACATAGCTTGAACACAAGGGTTAGGCATTTAATTATGGAGTGCAAACTTGGTTTAGAGGCCTGCAAACAAGTTCCAAGCATGCTGATTTGAAAATGAGACTTGTATGAACATGCCTTTGGTCATGAACAAAAGTGAATTTTTCCCAACTTTGCAAATTCGATTCTCCCTAACCACAAGGGTGTTTGAGAAGTTCTTGGACAATTTGGAAAGCTTGGAATGTGTAATACAATCCATCTTTGTAATGCAAATTGAAACTCCAAGTGGAAGCATGTGAAAAATGGCCATGAAGTTGGACAAAAATCCTGCCTAGAATAGGTCAAAATTTCTCTAAGTTAAGAATGTTTTGCACCCTTGTTCCAAAAATCATAACTTGAGCTACAAGCTTCCTTTGAGAAAACTTTTTGAATCAAAGTTGTAGATATTTCAATGGACTACAACTCTCATGTTTTGAGTTTTGTTTTAATCCAATTGTATCTTGATAAAAAAATGGGACAAAGTTAGGAAAACATAAGGAAGTTTCATAACTTAGAAAAATTCTAAGTTATGAAATTTTCTCATTCTAAACCCTAATTTGCAATTTTGGGTTTCTTGATGAACAAGTTTCATAATTTGACATGTCTTGATGAAAAATGAATCTTGGCACTTGATTTTGACCAAAAAGTCAAAGTTTGACTTTTCAGTATACAGTCAAATTTTGATCAGTTGACTGGAAAATTCATCTGTCAATCCTATGCATTTGGGATCTTTTGAACTTGTTGGATGGATCAAGACAATGCCATTGAGTTCTTGAGTCCATATGTGAGCTTGGTTTGCCATTGGTTAAGTCAAACAGTCAAAAATTGCGTTTGTGCAGTCAAAACCCTAAAAATGACCATTTTGCCCTTTTGGTGATCTGATCAAATTTCTTGTGGAATTGTGATCCAAACTTGATCAAATGGTTCATATGAGTTCATTATGTTGATGTGGGTCAAATTTCATGAGGTTTGACTGTCAATTGGCCATAGTTGACTTTTTCCCAATTCAATTGATTTCTAAGTCAACTGTCCAATTGACTGGGCAAAGATTGGAATCAAGGCTTGAAACTTGGTATGGATAAACTTGTAAGTCCAACATGAAGCATGAAAGTCACTTTGGGAATTTTGGGTCAAAACATCCTTGTGCAAACTCAAACCCTAATTTGGGTCAACAGTGCAAGGAGGGGTCTTGAGTAGAGCAAACCCTAACTTGATCCTGAGCTCCAAGAGTCTTGTGATGAGAAAATGTTGATGAGAAGGGAGGGAAAATTTTGGGGTACAACAGTTGCCCCTGTTCAATCTTCTTGCACCTGAAGAGTTAGATTGGCAAGTTTGCCTTTCGCGTCTCGAAGGTAAAAGGAGATTGGACACTAGAGTGCCCTTAAATTTGCACTCGTCGAAACAATGGATGCGGGAATGGGATTAGAGATGCCATTTGGAGATGGGCTTAAAGATGCCATCTGGAGATGGGCTTAAAGATGCCATCTGGAGGGGTGACAGAATCTTGTCAGGGATGGGCTTAAAGATGCCATCTGGAAATTGCTGGTAGGAGGATGGGCTTAGAGATGCCATCCGGAAATGTTTGTTGAACTGTATGTCGTTGGTGAATGGGTGAGTATAAAAAAGGTATCCATGTTTTGGAACATCTTTGAACTGGGGGTCTGAATAAGCAATAGATTGACATCCGTGTTTGGAGAATCCGTAAACTGTTTTCAGAGGTCTTGAAGTTGAATAAGCAATAGATCAGCATCCATGTTGGGAAGCATCCGTAAACTGTTTTCAAAAGTTGAGTCTGAACAAGCGATAGATTAACACCCGTGTTTGGAGAATCCGTAAACTGTTTTCAGAAGTCTTGAATCTGAACAAGCGATAGGTTAACATCTGTTTCTGGAGAACCCGTAAACTGTTTTCAGAAATCTTGAAATTGAATAAGCAATAGAGCAGCATCCATGTTGGGAAGCGTCCGTGAACTGTTTTCAAAAGTTGAGTTTGAACAAGCGATAGATTAACATCCGTGTTTGGAGAATCCGTAAACTGTTTTCAGAGGTTGAAGAATCTGAACAAGCGATAGGTTAACATCCGTGTCTGGAGAACCTGTAAACTGTTTTCAGAAGTCTTAAAGTTGAA